CCATATCTGATGCTTTCGTCAATATCTTGAAACGTGGAATATCCCCTTTAAGTAAATATTGTACGCCTAAGCTCAGCCCATAAGAACAACCCGAGAACAATTTTCATCCAGATCAAAGTCTTAAGGAGCTGTCATTCTGCACCTCCGGTACTCCGCGTACTTGAAAAGTCTGTTAAAAAAGCATGCACTTCGTGGCATCTGCCCTCGGTGACGTCACAGCCACCACGCAAACTTCTGAGAATAATGCATGTATGACAACTTATTGAATGTCCGGCAGCAGCAACCGTCGGTCAGACAGTTTAAGGTCAAGGGATGTCATCGGTGGCAAAATGCATCGGTCGGTGAAAACAAGCAGAATTCTTCAGTTTGAGGACGCATGGTTAACAAGAGTACCTAAGACAAGTTCTAGGGGTTAAAGGTTTGGAGGCATGCATATTGCTGAGTGATGTGACAAAATTGCCAGGGTTTGATGTCAAGCAGCCCGGGTAAACCTTGTCCAATGCCATGACATGTAAGGCAGTTCGATTACGATGATTTTCAAAATGGCGCTCACATTTCCGTTGTCTACGCAATGTGACGCTTGCGGTTAAGTCAAACCAGGCGAAGCAGCAAGGCCATTTAATGATTATGTTCACTTGAAATAGCAAGCTAAGTGTAGTTTGGTAACGGCGATGAAATAAGACATAACTTCCGCTCTTTTACAAGGACCGGCGGATTGTTCGCCCTGTGCGCGCTGATCGGATTATGGCTAAGCTGCAACTATCAGCTGACTCAAAGAGATATCCGCATGCCACGCGCCTAACACGTACCACCCCTTAACATTCACGCACTATTCCATCATGCACGCACTACCACAAAGGGGTACTTATTTCATGAAATGGTTTAAATGTAAATATAGTTTATTTCGTCTAGCGTCTTAGCGTCTCTGTCCGTTGTTGTTTTCCTTTGATCAGGAGATTTCATCATATGCAACATGATTTTTGTGTATACAACGTAGAACACAAGGTGTCTGCTGTATAACAGGCCTCTAAGTACTAATCTTCATGATTTGTTGTGAGTGGTACTGATTATGGGACGTGTGTGGGTCTAAAACGCAATCATATACCGTCATTCCTTCCTTTTTTCTTCACATCATCCCGGGTGCGTTAATAGCCTTCATGTCAGGTTGTGCCGGTAGGTCAACTGCAACTCAAAATACGGAGAAAAGGCTAGCAGCTATCTTGTGAGCGACGTGAACCGATCTCAGCACAGAATTAAGATCGATTTATCATGGCGATAAACTCCTTACATAACACATATCATCTACAGTCGTGCAGAGCAGTCAAAAAGCATAGTCATTCTAAATGGAATGTAAATGTCATAGGATGTGTGCTAGAAGTGAGCTCGTTTCTCTCGAACACCGGCTTTCAGCAGAATGAAACAGTCTGGGGACGCATGCCTCTGAAAACACCGCGATTTCTCCAGATTGTTCTCCCAAAAGCAATCCTGCAGCCTCCCCAATACGTTGAGAGCCAATTTTTTTTAAAGGGAGATTCCAAACGGCTCAGGAAAAGTCGCAAATGCCAGCGCTCTGCCTAAAACGGTAATTGCCTAATCTGCCTAATGGTAATCTGCCTAATTGGTAATGAGATGGGAAAAGGGGGGGACGGAGGGGGGGGGGGTTGCAATCGGCCCCCACCTGAAAAAGGGCTCACGAGGCTTTGCACGGACATAGCACGAGAAATTGACAAACGCAATAGCACTGCACAACGGCTCTCCTCCTGAACGACATTGGTAGTGTCTGCCCTGCAAAGGAACACCGGGTGCGCTCGTCCGCGCCCGTAGACTCATATTGGCTTTTGGGAACTAAGCTGACTTCAGACACTGAACCGGATACAACATAATATCATCCAGCCAGTATAATTTCTTTCCGAAAGCATGTGGCTATCAAGAAAGCAGCTATGATTACATGACTGCGAACTGACGCAATAACGCGGCAGAATTGTCGCCAAATTTGTATTACAGTTGTAGCATGCTATCCCGTGTCCGTGCAACGGCGCTGAAACACCGATACAAGAGGGGCAGGAGCGGTGATGGAGCAGAGGTGGCAATGTCCTTAAAGTCTGGAAAAAGGCGCCTTTGAACCATAGCGCTGCACGGAAAGAAATGTGGTAAACGACATGCTTGATCCACTGCTGGAGCTGGGACCCATCGTCACTGCACCAATACACCGCAGCACGGCTGAAGCTCAGGTCACGATAATGGTAATCCAATCTAAGTGAAGAATGCAACCGGGAGAGTTCCCTCGATGGTACTTTGGGCATTTGCCCAAATCAGACGCTTGAAAGTCGACGCATGTGAGGAGTCATTATCACCAGACAGCCTTCCAGTTCATGTGGAACACTTTTGCATTGCTCATTCGCAAAAAATGCCGCACGTAAAAATGTGCCAGTTCCAGTCATAACGAGCGCGCACAATCTACGTCGCATGGCTCTGTAGCTAGCAGTCGAGCTTATCATTGTCATAAAAAAAACAGCCGACGACGGAAACATCTAAGTAGCTGAGAACTCCGACAACCGGCGAGGAATAACAACAGCACCAACAGCTGTCCACACACACACACACATACACATGACACAAACTGATAAGATGAATTAGTGGCTGAGAACACTGACAACCGGCCAGGACCGGCAACAACGTCAACAGCTGCCCGCGACGCACACATGCCAGCATATTATCAGCAGCCTTCGGAGGTGAACATGTGCAAACACACCCTGCGTTAAAGGCTTCTGCCTCTGCTGATTGCTATATCGACCCGACAGACATCGAGTAGAGACAACCTAACGACGAGACAACCTAGAGACAACCTAGAGACAACCTAGAGACAACCTAGCGACGAGACAACCTAGAGACAACCTAGAGACAACCTAGAGACAACCTAGCGACGGCCGGCCGCGCCGCTCGTGACGAGACTTCGACAGGGAGCCGAGCTCTCTGCCACCTGAACATGCCAATGACGGCGATGGTGCTGCTGTTGCTGGTCATCCTGCTGTAGACTGCGGCTGCTGCCGGTCCTCCATCTGGTGCGTCCCTCTACTGGCGCCTGTAGTCGACACGCTAATGAAAAACTGTGAATATTGAAGAGAACCCCGCCGTCGCCTGGCGAGGTCGTCTGAGTAAACATTGGTGTACGCCTCTCTTTGATAGGGAATTTCATCCATTGAAAAAACAGGAGTATTTATTCGTCGGAAAAAAACAGGAAAATAGAAATATAGTTAGGTTGATGTTTCAGCAACACGCCTTTCTAGAAGCAATAGCAGAGGTGAATTAATTCAATTTCTGATTTCTTCAATTTTCAAAATTCAATTCTTATTCACTTCTGCTATTGTTTCGAGAAAGGCATGCTGCCGAAATATCAACCCAACTACATCTCTACTCTCCTGTTTTTTCCGAGGAATAAGGCTAATACTACTGCCCTACCAATGTTACTAGCGTTCCTCGCCAATGCACTGAACAACTTGAGAAATTTTGTCCCCCCAAAAAAAGCTGCGTAAAGAACGAACAGAGTGGAGGCCAAAAGTGCCTTTTTATCGAGTTGACGTGGAACGGCTAAAATACAACGGGTTGACCAATGTTCTACGTCACTTGAGTGAACACTATGGATTAAGAAACAGAAATTACTGCCATCACAATCGACCAGGTTATCACAAGCTAAGCAATGCTTGCTGTCTCAGCTGTGCAATAGTTTCTACCTCCAACATTTTCCAGATTAGAGAGTCACAGCTATACCAATGGTCGACAGAGTACGAACAAAATTTAACTCTCGGGAAAGTGAGTGTGTGCGGTTTTTGCCCAGAAGAGGTTTGATGAAGAGGACGTTGGTGCAATTTCATGCGCACTATTTTTTCATCCTGAATCTTGGTTCATGTATATTGCTTGCTAGCCAGATCGCTCTGATGAGAAGCCTTCTATAAGCAAGGCTTCCACAACGAAATCAGTCAAAAATGTATTCGTAATAGAGTCTTGCGTTGGTCTCAGTTCATCACAAGTGTGGTGGCAATTCCATGAATTATTGGTAAATGAAGCATCGCCAGTAGATGAATTTCGAGACCCCATGATTCTCTACTAGATATCATCCTGACTCGAAACAATGCCTAAGTTGTTAAAAGTAACGTTTCACATTAAGATATGTATTATATTGATTTATTACACATTATGTTACCCATTATATTAAAGCAAGCATGAAATATGATGAAACAAGGTCACTTGTAACTGTTGACATATTTCTAAGAAGAAAATACTGCTATAGATAACACAGTCCTTTTGTTTAGTAAATAGGCTCCTTGATACGTCATTGCTTGATTGCATCATCGTACCTTGCACAACACTGATTGAGAGCCAATTGACGGCCGTTATATCTGGAAATGTTGCTCACGAACACCAGGTATGAATGACTCTTCTATACTATTTTTCTTGGCCTTGATCGCCGTATAACTTTTGGGATGACAAAATTTAAATAACGTTATTATGACGTCATGAATGCCAAGGTGAACCTGAAGTACTCCCTCCGAAAAAGTATCCCATCTTTCCGTGCGTGAAGCTCGGGAACTTGGGGGATTTAGTTCTTCGGAAACGCAGGGCTGTGAACCGCACCGAATTATCTTCAAGACGCCTTTTCACTTCAAAACTCCATAGAAATGCGAAACACTCCCTTTACGCGCATTTACGAAGAATACTATGCGTATAGATAAGACAGTACTAACAACCCTACTCCTCGTATTCTACGAGGAATAGGTCTATGGACACTGTGTTATCTGGCTAGAAACAGGTTATAAGGTGCTAGCTTTGGGTAGTCGTCTCTTTCTACGCCATAGAACCGCCGGTTTTAGATAAACCTTTTCAAAACCCCGGCCGTGACTATCCATCCATCCGCCGGGGACGTTATCCCAGTTTTCAGTGGTCAGTATGCGAATAATCAAACACGATAACTGCTTGTGAACAAACACTGTCATGGTCATGCGAAAATGATGTCCCGTTGATGTATTTAGTTGGTAACTTCAGTTCACATCCAAAACCCATAGCATGTTTTGTAGCATAAAAAGCTTGAAATGGCCTCAGTAAGCGACACGCTCGTGAAATCTCACAGCGGCTATAACGTTCCAAGCAACCTTCTGCTTACATTCCATGAAGGGTGTATAAATCACTATCATACTTACATCGTTAGTATTACCTACTTATTTATAGCATTACGCCTCTGCAACACTGAAGCACACCTCGATGAAGTACAAGGACCACGATGGCCTGCAACGTCAAAATACCGCCATCACCAGACCGTGAAGCTGAAGTTCCTAACAAAGGCCTGTACCGGCTGCGCGAAATCCCGCCCCGGTTCCGTAACGTTCGCGGAGCCCTCTCACAGCTCCACCTAGACGAGTGAGCTCCGTCAGTAATCGGTGGCGAACAGAACCGATGTGATGCTCCTCTCGGGCAGGTGGACGTCCAGCGTGCCGCGGTTCGGCTGCGCCACCGTCACGTCCACGCCGCTGTCGGCCTTGTTCAGCATCGTCAGCACCGTCTGGCCGTCGGGCGTGAAGCCGATGGTGCTCTTCACGTCAGCGGCGGCGACACCGTCCCTGCGGACCTCGTCGAAGGTGGTCATCACGGTGCCCGGCGGCATGAGCGCTGAGAAGTGACCCAGCACGTAGAACATGGGCTGCTTGAAGAATCGCTCCTTCTCGGCGTCCACGATGATCGGCGAGTCGACGAAGTTTCCGACCCAGTTGGGACCGCCAATCCGATCCAGCGCGATGTTCCAGTCGACCCACCCGGTGACCCAGTTGTTGAGGTCATCGATAATGTCGACGGCGTACGACTCCGCACGCTCCCAGCTGCCGAGCACCACCTTGTCGGCCGAGTAAGAGCCCTCGCACGCCTCGGTGGCCAGCAGGAACTTGTCCGGGTGGTTGTTGTGCGTGTCGGTGAGCACGCTGGCCGGCGTGTCCAGGTCGCGGTACCAGTGCACGGCGATGCCGGCCACGAACGCCGCCGCCGCCTCGTCAGCCAACACCGTGTCGGCCCAGTCGGGCAGCAGGCTCCGCTGGTCGTCCAGGATCATCACCATCGTCTCGTTGAAGTCGGCGGAGGCGCGCAGGGTCGGCCCCAGGTTATCGCGCACCCAGGTCAGCTGGGTGTCCGCCGTCCAGCCCATGGTATTCCACGCGCCCGGGCTGAGACCTCCGTTTGTGGGCTCGTTCTGCGTGGTCAGTGCGCCCACGGAGACGCCGGCCTCCTTGTACGCCTTCATGAAGCGCATGTGGTAGTCAGCCCACAGTTGGAAGTACTCGGGCTTCAGCGAGCCAAGACCGGTAAGGTTGTTGTTGGTCTTCATCCACGCGGGCGCCGACCAGGCCGATCCGAACAGCCTCAAGCTGCCGCCCGACATATTGTGAGCGGTCAGAAGGTGCGGGATCTTCAGGAGGGTGTCCTCCTCGGTCAGCGCGAAGTTCTCTAGCTCGTCATCACCGGGGACGTCGTCATAGGTGTACGGACGGGTGGAAAAGTCACAACCTCCGATCGGGATGCGACCTATCGTGTAGCGCAGGCCATCGGGCGCGAAGTAGGAGTGCAGCAGCTGCGCCTGCACGTCCTCCGGCAGGCTGTTGATGTTGACGCCCGCCGCGTCCGTGAAGGCGCCGCCAAAGCCAAGCAGGCGCTGGCGCAAGTCCCCCTGGCCCAGATTCAGTGTGAGCGCGGCCGGCTGAGGGCGGACCATCGGCTTCCACTGGGCGGAGGAGACGACGAAGCGGTCGCCGGCGCGCGAGGAGGTCACCACCGTGGCGTTGGCGCCCATCGCGGGGGTCAGGCTCGGAAACGGGTCACAGTAGGTGGCGTTGCACACGCACACGACGCTATCACCTTCGAACTGCAGGGGCGAACACGGCTGCGCGTCGGCGCCTGACCCCGCCGCCGCCGCCGCCGCAGGCGACAGCAGGCAACCCACCCACAGCAGTGCCGTCAACGTCGCCATCGCCGTCAGCACGTTCAGGCGGCAGTGATGTCAACTCTCACCGAGCGCCCGGTTTTGACAGAACTACAGAAGCCGGCTGTCGCTTTCCCAGCGTCGTACCGCTTCCGTATCTGATAGCGCCGCGGCCGAAACCGCAGACGCGGAAGGCTGAACGCGCCGGGGGTGTGTTTACACGCGCGTGTCTCGTCACACTGATGCGATCTCCGAGCCCAGTTGCGCCGATAGACACGTGGCGAACGGCTGGTGAGTGCGGTTGTTCTTCAGGGCTGGTGGCCGTTTTTCCGACGAAATTTACCACTTTTGAGGCCAAGGGCTCGCTGAATATTCCGCAGGGCTTTTAGCGGATAGCGCTGGCGGCACAGCGGATTTTTGGGGCTTTCAAAACACAAACATCAGAAAATGGCTAATTTTCAGGTCCTAGAGGGCTGTATAAGATTTCTGTTTCTGTAACAAAATTATATTTACCGGCAGTAAATATCTCCAGAATTATGTAAACCTTCAGATGTGTAACGGCATTAATTCTCCAGAATGCTTAAAAGACTCTATGACGAGAAAAGCACGAGAAGGCAACTATACCTCCTGGGAAATGGCTCACCCACCTTATTCCATCTTTTCCATCGGAATCTTAAGTATGCCTGGAGTCCGAAATGCTATCCGAAGCTTCCTTAAAAAGTCGCCTTCAGCGTCTCACCACCTGCCAGTTGCATCAAACAGTACTGGATCGCAAGGCGATGCCCTACCTTTTGATTGGTTTAGGCGACCATCGGACGACGTCGTACTCGTTTCTCAGTGGTGAACTATCACGTCATTTCTGGACCCCACGACCATGAATCGTCTCCGACGCGCACAGTATATAAGCCGTGCCATTGATAACCGCGCATGCTCTAACCCTCTCCGGGCTCGATGACGCAAGACCGCTGTTGGTTGTGTGTGTGGACCTTGTGATGCGAGTGGTGGTGCGTGCAAGTGAACAAAAAAATAGAAGCTGTGTTTGACAAGATTTCTCTTTTTCGTTGGACTCGTGAGAAAGACTGGCACAGGCACGGTCTGTCTCTGTCAAGGTCTCCACTAGTAACAACTATCACGCAAACAGTCAGAAATTTCCTGCAGTTTCAATTAAACACCAAAAGGGCCAATTATATCGCCAGTTTTTTTGGCTGTGTGACAAAAAGATGCATTATTTTGATAATAAAACAGTATTATTGTTACCATTGTTATCTATAGCCCAGCAACAGACATGGCAAAACCATCATCTTACTCATCACAGCCTAAGCTGGTATGCACTCTCAATAACGCTTGTCTTCCACCATAAACACAAACATATGATAACTAGCGGAATAGTCAGACGCGGCAGAGCAGGAACCAATCACAAGGGGATTGATGAAAATCACATGTCTAAAATGGCAAAAATGACCAAGATTTGTGAGTGTGGTAAATGGGTTTTATGGGCACGTCGACTACAGCGGTCATTCTGCGCCCACTTTTTCGTTGCCACCACCCACGACAATAATTTTGCGTTAACGATGAATATGATGCGTAAGAAATAGTTCTACTGAAAATCCAGGCCAGAGGCCGCCCGCTCCTTTGCCACTCCGTTTATTGAACACATAACACTGTCATTCCAGACGGCCAAACGGACGCAGGCGCATTTGTACCACAATGATGAATGTTGTACCACAACGCTGCGAATCTGGAAGCACTTTAAGAGAAGTGCCTACGTCATGTAGCGTCTTGTCTGAGGTAACTAGCGCGGCATGATGTTTCTGTCTCGATGGTTAACCATGGAATCCGAACAGTCCTCCGGGCAGCGCGCCCACGCTTCCTAACAGAGATGGCGGACGCGGCAAGAAGCCGAACTGACCAACGCCCGGGCTAAAGACGCTTCCAACTGGCCTGAAACTGCCTCCAACAGGCTTGAAGCTGCCCCCAACAGGCCTGAAACTGCCCCCAAAAGGCTTGAAACTTCCCCCAACCGGCCTGAAATTTCCCTCAGCCGGTCTGAAGCCGCCTCCACTTGAGCCGAAACCGCTTGTAAAAGGCAAAAAACCGCTTCCAATTTGTCCTGATCCAACAAAACCTGGTCTGTGGCCGGCTCCAAATTGGTAGCCTCCAAACGGTGCATAACCACCAACAGGACCAAATGAATGCGACTGCTCACCACCTCCCACCACTGGCTTCGGACCCTCGAACACGGTGGAGCCAGGGCCGAAGTTATGGAGGCCGGAACTCGTACTGGGGCTGAACCTCGCCTCGATGTTTGCGTCAACGGTGTCGGCCAGCTTGCTGTCGCCGGATGACGTGAGGTTGCTGACGCCGTCGTGCTCCGCCTGCGAGGCGACGACGCAGAGCAGCAGCAGCATCGGCTTCATCCTGCTCTGGAACCGACGAAGAAAATCAGCGGCGTTGTGGTGCTGGGGTTTAACCAGATTTGTTAAGAGGAATCTTGTGCTGAAAATGTGCAAATGCGTGATCGTTTCACTTTTTGACTTATGGACTCATCTTGCCTGGTGTTTGATTTTCACGTCAAGGAATGATCATAGCTTCTGGAGTACCTTTTACCGCAGCAGTTTCAATACACAGCAGCCACCCTTGGGCGTGCACGGTAGCTGGCTGTTGTTCTTTTAAGTCCAAAGTGATCAATGCCAGCGCTTGGTGAATCATCAAACCGGCATACATGTCAATGGACACGATGCTACGTTTCACATGTGGCTATCCGAGATTACATGCGAAGGAAACATACCGTACATTCCCCAACAATGACACAAGCTCAGTGCAGATGTTACCGGGCCGTTTCGCGGAATTCCCAAATTAGCACAGAATTGCTTCATTGTTCACGTAAAATGCCACTCGTTGGCCGTTACGAAAAATCACGTTTTTGCACCAAGTAGCAAGGCCATGAACCGGAGCCGGCCTGCAAGCCTTACCCGACTTCATTGGCGGCTCTGCCAGGACTGACTGATCGCATCAACCGGCAGGATTGTTTTATAGGCTGGGCTGAGCTGTTGCAACTTTGGCTGGAAATTTTGCCCGCATCGTGACCCAGTGGCCTGGAAGCGAGACAAGAAAAACCACAGTTCAGGACGGGAGGTATGACAAACCCAAGACAGGGACCAGGCGGCTAGGTCAATGTGCAGGGAGCCACCGCCAACCACTGAATGTGGCGCCATGCTGAGTTTGGTGTCGAGTGAACTGACGCAACGGGAGATCATTATCCACGTTTAAAGGGCATAGGTGCATGCACAGCTGGTAGCACGGAATCACAAACCTTTGATATTTACATGCGTGGTGCTGAACTACTCAGGAGCAAGAGCTTGAGCCATTGACCACAAGCCTTTCTGGTGGGAGTGACAGGGAAGCCTCGCGGGTCAGCGAGTCCTGTGTTGGTCTTGACTGCGTGCCACCGTATGTCACGACAAAGTCGAACGGCTTCTGCCCTCATATAGAGCGTGCCTTTAGAGAGAGAGAGAGAGAGAGAGAGAGAGGGAGAGAGAGAGAGAGAGAGAGAGAGAGAGAGAGAGAGAGAGAGAGAGAGAGAGAGAGAGAGAGAGAGAGAGAGAGAGAGAGAGAGAGAGAGAGAGAGAGAGAGAGAGAGAGAGAGAGAGAGAGAGAGAGAGAGAGAGAGAGAGAGAGAGAGAGAGAGAGAGAGAGAGAGAGAGAGAGAGAGAGAGAGAGAGAGAGAGAGAGAGAGAGAGAGAGAGAGAGAGAGAGAGAGAGAGAGAGAGAGAGAGAGAGAGAGAGAGAGAGAGAGAGAGAGAGAGAGAGAGAGAGAGAGAGAGAGAGAGAGAGAGAGAGAGAGAGAGAGAGAGAGAGAGAGAGAGAGAGAGAGAGAGAGAGAGAGAGAGAGAGAGAGAGAGAGAGAGAGAGAGAGAGAGAGAGAGGAGAGAGAGAGAGAGAGAGAGAGAGAGGAGAGAGAGAGAGAGAGAGAGAGAGAGAGAGAGAGAGAGAGAGAGAGAGAGAGGAGAGAGAGAGAGAGAGAGAGAGAGAGAGAGAGGAGAGAGAGAGAGAGAGAGAGAGAGAGAGAGAGAGAGAGAGAGAGAGAGAGAGAGAGAGAGAGAGAGAGAGAGAGAGAGGAGAGAGAGAGGAGAGAGAGAGAGAAGCGAGAATAGGAGAGAAGTAGAGAGAGAGAGAGGAAGAGAGAGAGAGGAGAGAGAGAGAGAGGGTGGAACTCGGCCACATGGCATGCGCGTTAGGTGGAGTGCTTGGGTCCGAAAAAATGGGGGACCGGCGGCATCTCAGCTGCCTACCGATTCGTTTGAACGCCACGCTGGCTGGGTCACGTGGTTTGTGACGAAGTGGGGAGCAGGTGATCAACCCAGTCACTAGCCAGAGTGGCGGTGCGACTTGCCATATATGGGACGGTCGTTGACCCTCCCACTGGTGGGGAGGGTAGGTATCCCACATGGGTATCCTCCATGACAAGTTGTCATGGAGGAGGACCTCCTTGACAAGTCCGGCAATAGCTGGAAAACTGTTTGTTCTTGCACCGTTAAATGTGCACCTCTTCCCTTATACCAATTTCGCGTGTGCTTTGTAAGTTCATACCACGTAACATCAGTGACCTATTGCAGTTCTGGTCTAAGCATGTGAGGCCATAGTGCGGATAAACTTAGTGAACTGGAGAGATGTGGTGAACTGTGGTCTTCCTGCGATCACCATGGTTTGTCCACCGAGCCATAGTGCGGGTAAACTTGAGGAAGTGGACTGATGTGTTGAGCTGGGGTCTTTCTGCGGTCACCATGGTTTGTTCACCTAGCAAGTCATTCCCTGATCTCTCAATGACATGTGGTCATCATACACCAATTACACAGCCAGATGTTAAGCGCTTGCACCTGCCAACATCCTCTTTAGAAGGGTAACTTGCTGGCCTTATTGATTTTCATCCAGCAGGGTTGCCATTACATCTGCGTTTAACATTTTGATTGAAACGTCGTCGTAGGTCGCGCCGTAACTTGACTTGAGGTTCAGCACTCAACTCTTGTGTACATTTATCGGTGCCACTTGCCTTTTTACTCCATAATATAAGTGCTACATCGTATATCTATTT